TTTCTGCAATTTAAGCCTAAATTTTGCAGTAAGAAGCTCATGATCTGAGCCACAGTTGGAGATGATCTTATTAATATCCCTCAATTAATTCCTTTTTCTTCTGGCCTAATCTGCTTTTGGGAGAGCAGACCCACCAGCTTTTATTGTATCTATTTTATTGGTCAATGACCGAAATAAAGTTGATGATGACCCACCAGCATTCCATTCAAAAGCCAAGTGTGTCCCCTTGGCCTGACAGAAGTTTACCCATGGTATCCCATGATTAAACCAATCATATTTTGAAGATGTGGTTTTTACAGTACAGGTAGACCTCATTTAGTTGACTGCCTTGTTTAGCGACTGTTTGCAGTTATGATGCTGATGAAAAAGTAACTCTGTGACCAATCCTCGCATTTATGACCTTCACAGGTCTGTAAAGCAAAGGAAAGCTTTGTAAGATCGTAAGCACAGTCGCAGTTTTACTTAGCAACTGCTTTGCTTAATGACCAAATTACCAATCCCAATTGAGGTCGCTAAACAAGAACTACCTGTATAATATAAACCTGTGCATGTGATCCAGGGCTATTTTGAATTGCAATGCAGCTTCCCTTCTGGAAATCTTCAAGAAAATAGCCATGTAAAAAATACTTCCCTTGTTCCTGGTCTGTTGAGGTTGGTGATCTTTGAAACCGAGGGTTTAAAGATAAGGGCTGCTGCTTCTTTTCCTTCCTTGCTCATATCCTGATCCTGGATCCCAAACTGATGAAAATGTGGGCTGAACAACAAAAGAAGAATGTATTTATTTGTTGCTGTTCCTAAATTGTGACATTCCTTTTTCTAGGTTGCTCATTTAGCCTTGTCTCTTATCATGTTGCACCGTAAAACTGAATCAAATTTTTGTTTAGATCCGTGTTTCTCAACCTCAGCAACTTTAAGATGTGTAGACTTCAACTCCCAGAATTCCCCAGCCCGTGTTCCTTTATTGAAAGGTTTAAAAACTATGTTATTTTCTGGAAATGCTAATAAACCTTGTTTGTGGATTTTTACATGCACATTTTTGCTTCCCTTTGCAGGAATAATGCCTGGACGCTACAATCAGGACGTGGGAGGGACAATTCCTGTCTTTGCCTTCCTTGGTGCCATGGTGGTTCTGGCATTTTTCGTGGTCCAAATCAAATCTAAGAGTAGGCCAAAGAGGCGGAAACTTCGAGTTAAACGGCCACAGATTATACAACAGGGCCACCCTCCAAAGACACCGTCTGTTTGATTGCTGTAGCCAAAGATGATCTCCTCTTGTTGACTGCTTTGTGGAATTGCGATCAGCGGCTAAAGAAGTTTAGCCCGACCTAGCCACTGGGTCTGGGACACACAACCTTCTCCTTTTGTCTTTGGTTATTGGCGGGCGACAACTCCACGGATGATCTTCAGTTAAAAAGCGCCCTATTATTTTCAGTAGCTGAACTGACCAAAGGCTTAAACTCTATTTAAGAAGGAATCACTTGCTTCTGATTTTGGAAAGGACCTTTTTTTGTTCTTTGACTTTGACCAAACCTTTTCATTAGAGGCTATTTTCTGTATTTATTTCCAGAGGGACCAGGGAAGGATCCTCATTGAGGCCCTTGGCTCACGGATGGCAGCGCCATTGTTTTCCTGAATGGTGTGCCCTTTTTTTATGCTCTCTCTTATGAAGACAAATAGACCTCATGCCATCCTCCCATAAGGATGAGAAAGAAACTGACTGTTGGAACAAACTAGGAACAAATTGGTGTGGCTGATTTGTCTGATCAATGTGGACCTGTAGTCCTTTCATTTATTTTTATAAAGCAACTTACCATGACGTTTTGTAATTCTTCAGCATGATTTCACCATTGCGGGTGGATAAAAATTTTCAATAAATATGTTATCTGTATTGAATCTGAAACAACAAAGAGGCAATTTCCCCCCGACACTGAAAGATGGAGGAGAAAGTCAAATAATTTGGGGAACTACTCTGTGACTCCCCCCCGCCCCGCATCCTTTTCAGATCATTTTACATTTGCAACTCCAGCAAAAGACAGTCCCCTCTAAGTTCCATTGAAAACAATTTCCAGAGGGAGAATCAGTAAAACTGAGAGTCTTATAGGTCTTTAAAGAGAAATAAAACTAAGGCGATAGAAATATTTCATCAGCTAGTTGGTTATATCAAGGAATGGATGAACAGATATCAAACCAGTGAAAAATTAAAGTTAAGATGATGAACTTCCATTCAGCCTAGCTCACAAAAATGTGTACCTTAATAGAGAATTAGTCCCTAAGGCTCTTTCATGCTTTGATGGAATTCAGGGGGGTTGAACTGGTGTGACTTAAGCCTTTATTTGTATCTTATTAGCTACTCTTTCCTCTGCCTGTGCCCCCCTCTTCAGCAAAGTTGTGTCAAGTCTTCAGACCACATGGTTAGTCTTTGCAAGAATGCCAACATCATGTGAAATTTGGTGATCTCCCAAGATTTAAAAAATGCTATCTTTTTCCTGCACCGAGGGCATCCTGCAGTGCTATCATCCTGATGGGTTGTGTGAATCCAGCCACTGTCTTGCTGGTTAATGATCTTGGGTAAACCACTCAGAGACCTCTTCCAGAAAGAACTAGATAAACATCCTTAAATCAATAACATGAAATTGTATGTGGAGAAGAAGAGAAAAGAGAATTGTTTTTCTCCCCCTCGTATAATTTTACAATTTTAGGCTTCCCAGATGAAACCAACTCAGTATTTTCAGGAAAAGCAAGATAAAACCATTTATTTACATAACACAAAACTGGCAGCAGGATTTTATTTACTTGTTTGTTCAAGTAACTAAACTATTTGTAACTATTTGTATAGTTGCCCATCTCACATACCTGACTCTGGGTGGCTCATACAGTAAAACACAAAATACAAATAAATAACCAAAACAATCACAAAAACCATTAAAACCATTAAAAAACATTAAAACCATAATTTACGGGAGAATGCAATCCATTTTACAAGCAGTCTAACTGTTTCACAGGTTCCATACCACCACCAGATCCCCTGAGTACAGTGGCAAAGCCATGTCTACAGGGCCTTCTGGAAGGCCAATCTGACCATGGGGGAATGATGTTCCAAAGGGCAGGTGCCACAGCAGAAAAGGCTCTCCTCCTGGGTCCCGTCAGATGACGCTCCTTAATGGATGGGACCTGTAACGTGCCCCTTCTGCTGGACCTGATGGGATGGGCAGATGTATTGAGAAGAGGGTCCCTCAAATAACCCAGCCCCATGCCATTTAGGGCTTTATAGGTCATTACCAGCACCTTGAATTCAAACTGGGAGCAAATTGACTAATGCAGTGCATGGAGCAGAGGTGTAACGTACACTGATCTAGCAGCACACATAACTGCCCATGCGGCCATATTTTGCACCTGTTGAAGCTTCTGGATGGTCTTCAAGGGCATGCCCTATGTAGAGTGCATTACAGTAATCCACATGGGAGGTGACCAGGGCATGGGTGACTGAGTGTGGGGCCTCCTGGTCCAGGAAGGCACAACTGGAACACAACCCAAAGTTGTGCAAAGGCCCTCCTAGCCATGACTGCCATCTGCTCTTTGAGCAGCAGTCATGAGTCCAGAAGGACGCCCAGATAGCACAGAGGGTCTGTTTGGGGCAATGCCACCCCATCCAACACCAAAGATGGTACGTTCCCAGATCCTGAAGGCCCCCAAAGTCTTGCCAGGATTGAAGCCTGTTGTTCCTCATCCAAACCCCCACAGCTTCCAGGCACCAAGACAGGATATCAACATCATTGCTTCATTTGCCAGAGGTGGAGATGTACAGCTGGGTATCATCAGCATATGGATGGTACCTCATCCCATGGCTGTCATTTTTTTTTTTTTTAAATCAAGGTTAGGTGTGTCAGTATAACTCCCCATTTTGGAGAGCATATCCCATTCAGTCACTGTGCTTGCAAAGCCTGTGGTGTTGTTTGTCTTTCTGAATTCAATTAGTTTTTTTATGTCTGCACAATACAGGAACCTTCAACAGCTGGCAAATGTCACAATGACATCACAGACATCACAATCTTAATTTGCAAATTACCTCTCCTTTATGCAATGATGTCATGAGACGCATGACTTGAACCACCTTCTCCCTGCTCTGTAGACATCCATTCACATAACCGTAAAGTGTCTGGATTTGCAGAATAGGCTAAGCCCCCGCCAAAGCTAATTAGAGTTCAAACTAACCACGTTTACTATAGCTGTGCAATTTTGGGACTTATCAGCCTAGCGCATCTGGAGAACACCTTGCTGGGGAAGGCTAAATTAATCTGAAAGGATTTCGCCCTTTCAAGAGTATCGCAGCAGAGAGAATTGCCACAGCAACCAGTATCTCTCCTGGCACTGCTTCAGTGACAGGATGACAAGCAAGGAACTTTGCTTATTGAATGACCCCTCAAATCAGTGTTCCTAAAGTGCTGCAAGATTCGTGGTGTGTAAACCATTGCAAATTCAAAATGGTGTTCAGAATGCCGTTTTGAGGTTCAGACAACTGTCCTGACCATGCTGGGGTGGTAATGAATATGCATAGCTCAGGCTGAGTACGTTGTATTGTTAGAATTCTCCAAGCTTGGTTTGGGAACTGCAGATGTTTCAGTACCCTTTAAGTTGCATCATCAGGAGTGTTGGCAAAGCAAGTTTAATTGTCTGGCTGGGGTTATATATCCTTCCGTCTGGCCTGCGCTGTGGGTGCTTGGCTCCGCTGCTCCTGTGGGCTGATGTTGTTTTGCAAGTGACAGATGCCTTGTTGTTGATAAATGGCATATTTAGCTGATGAGGTGGTGGTTCTGTCTTATCTCTGTGTTATTTGGTTCCTGTCTGATCAATGGCATTGATAGCCGTGTGGTGGGACAGTGTTTTTCTTTTCCAGTGGTTGCTGCATTGCTGGGTTTGGGTTATTAGGTCAATAAGGAGATGGCTCTGGTTTATTCTGAGTGCTAAAGAGTCTGGATGGATCTCTAGCTCACATAGGACCAACCGTTCCTGGAATTTTTGGGGGCTGGGAAATATGGAAGGTTTTCTACCAGTATGTCTGGAAGATGCTAGATTAGGAAAGGCAGGAATCAGCGTCCTTTGCTACAATATGACTGTATTCCAAGAGTGTTTGGCTGAGGAAAACACCACCAATTGTTCTTCTAACCCAGATATTGCCAGAGTTGCAAGAGATGGAGTTCAGCTAATTGAGGCTTAACCTGACAAGTTGATTCAGCTGGAGGGGGATAAACTACTGAGCCTCTTTAAAGTCCACAAACATGAAGGCAGGAGGAAGGGAGTGGCTATGACTGCAACTTGAGATGGACAAAGTGTGTGGCTTTTTCCCCCCACCTTAAAGCCTACCAAGAGAGCACGAGAAAGAAGGAATACCAAAATAATTCCTGGCTCAAAATATCCCTTTTCAAAGAACACTTCTAGGTAGGGCTCAACCCTTTCCTCTGAATGACGCGGAGAAGGTGTTGGGAGCAGCTTAACAAACATCACAATGGGTATAGTGACACTTTTCTCTTATGTATTTCTCTGGCGCAGTAGCTTGATTGTCTATGGACTCCTCTGCTTTTGGTCTTTGTCTTTTTCAAGTGATAGGTGGATTTGTAGGGACCTGCTTGGGAAGCAAACCCAAGGCCTGAGACAACGGAACCTGCTAGAGTTGGGGAAACTCATGTCTGTTTCTAGGAATGTTGGGTGGTGATTTCCAAGATGGGATGAGTGAGAAGGAAAGGTGGGAAGAGGACAATGGTGTTGGTTAGGCTTGATTTGCAGCAGGCCTTGTCATATACCCAGGATCGCAGCGGTGGTGTTTGAACATGTATGTGCCTTCTCATTAATGTGTGATGCTTTCAAAGAAATGGCTTTATGTGAAATCCCCCTGTTTAAACATTTCTTGTGAGTAGTGTTTTTTAATTGGCTTTTTACAACACAGTCCCTCATCTGCATGGGGACGGGGAGGGCTGGATGGTCAGATGGAACAGGTTTACTTGTGTTTAATAATGAGACAGAAGTGGAAACATTGACCAAACCTTGGATGATCTCCCAAATCTAAGCAAGGTTGGACTGGGGTTGCAGTTCAACAGAGCATTAGGAGATTCCATGGCTGAAAACTAGATTGGGAAGTTGAAAATAAAATCCTCCCACAAGAAGACAATGGCAATTTTTCTGTTGCTGCCAAGAAAGCTTATGGTCTATGAAGTCAGCAGGAGGTGAGTTTGTCTTGAAGGAGCTTTTACCTTGGTCGAAGAGGAAATGTTGGCTGCTAGCACTGAAGATCCCAGGATCCCAGAACTAAGTTTTCCTCACTTGTGCCCAACTTTCCTCAGGGTTTCTGTTTGTGGAGATAAAATTAAGAGTAAGATGCATAACGCCTTGAGTTCCAGAATGAAGTAGGAAATGCACTTTAGTAAGTAAGTGTTGTCTTCTACATCTGGCCACCCCCGAGGCAGAAGATCAGGTTCTTTAAGGAGGCTATTTTAAGCCCAATTTGAGGTGCAAGTCTTGGCCTTTTAAAACACTGAAAAGGTTATTTGAAAGACTGTCTGGATCTTTTATAAACCTGCCTGAACTTTCAGGTTTGCACTGTAGTTGGCCACTGGTAAGAATTCACTGTTTGGGAAAATACTGAAGACAGGCCCGTCGTGGTAATGGCCTCTTCGATTTGGAACTTTTCCTACAGAAATGCATGTGACCCTTGGCTGCTAGTTCCTTCCAGGAATTTTTGGTGTTGTGCATTTTTAATGGTGAGATTAATTTTTGTCCACCCTGCTTTGAAATCTGCCATAGTGCTGCTTATAAGTTAGTGGAATTGGCAGGATCTTGGGGCATGCAAGAGAAAAAAGTCAATGTGCGCTCAGTGTGTGCTCAGTGTGCGCCAAGATG